GGGCACGGCATTTGGATTTGTGTGTGTGTGTGTGTGAGGAAGATCAGCCCTGAGCTAACATCAGTGCCAATCCTCCTCTTTTTGCTGAGGAACCCCGGCTCTGAGCTAACATCTATTGCCAATCCTCCTCCTTTTTTTTTCCCCCAAAGCCCCAGTAGATAGTTGTATGTCTGTTATGAGAGGTTCGGGGATTCGATCGGAGACATAAAAGAAACTTTCCACTCCAAACAAAGGGACTGACGGTATATTTTATTATATAGAGGATAGTAAAGACGATAGTCTGCAAACAGATCCGAATAGGTCAAATAATAAGAGGGAAAAAACACCAGCTCGACTGGAAAGGGAAAACATCCACATCGGCTGAGATAGCAGCAGATCCGAATAGGTTATATAATAAGAGGGAAAAACAACAGATCGATCGGAAAGGGAAACACCAGATCGACTGAAGGGAAATGACACAAATCAACCGGAAAGAGAAACACCAGGTTGACCGAAAAGAGAACACATCAGATCAATTACTTCACAGTAAATCATTTACTCACAACATCCATGCCCCACTGCTGGGAGAGTCCTGTCAATCGACACGTCTGGGCAAGGATCACACATCCTGGGCAAGGCGTCCCTTCCACAGGTGGAACTCTCACCGGGTCTCAGTTTCCAGCAGTTTATATAAGCAGTTACAGAGTTTACAGAGCAAGCATCCAGTGTTCCCATGCACAAATGGTTATCAGTGGCGTATGTGCATTGAGCCCCTTGGCTAACGTCCCAGCCCAGTAATTGTGTACGTGCATTGTTCTCTTTGGTTATCGTCTTAGCCCGGCACAGATGGCCAGTCCATCCCGTGCTACGACACTCCAAGAGCCTTGAAATGTTACAACTTGCAACTCTCTCCGTGGGAGAAGGGCCAGTTTCCACCACGCAGAAAGCAGCTTTTATATTTCTTTTTGTGCTGGTGGCTGTAGGTCAATGGAGCGGCCAAACATGGCTGTATTCATGTCAAGACAATGTCATAGTTGCACATCCTTCTAGTTGCTGCATGTGGGACGTGGCCTCAGCATGGCCAGAGAAGCAATGCGTCGGTGCACGCCCGGGATCAGAACCAGGCCAGGCCACCAGCAGCGGAGCACGAGCACTTAACCGCTAAGCCACCGGCCAGCTCCCGGCATTTGGATTTTAAATAGGGCTCTTTGGCAACTCTGTAAACGATGATTTCTGAGAGAGAACACTGGGGGTAGAATATGAGTTAAGGAGCTATTAAAATTGTCCAGCCAGGGCCGGCCCCGTGGCTTAGCGGTTAAGTGCTCGTGCTCCACTACTGGCCACCCGGGTTCAGATCCCCGGCACGCACCGCCGCACCGCTTCTCCAGCCATGCTGAGGCTGCATCCCACATACAGCAACTAGAAGGATGTGCAACTGTGACATACAACTATCTACTGGGGCTTTGGGGGAAAAGAAAAGGGGGAGGATTGGCAATAGATGTTAGCTCAGAGCCTGTCTTCCTCAGCAAAAAAAAAAAAAGAGGAGGATTAGCACAGATGTTAGCTCAGGGCTGATTTTCCTCACAAACAAACAAAAAAAATTGTCCCGCCAACAAATAATGAGGGTCTCCTCTCATCATTCCAACAAATAATGAAGAAGTGGTGGTAGATAGGGAAAGGAAGGAATGCACTATACACTGAAGCTGCTTCCTCGTCCTTATACCTGCTGGCAAAGCAGGCAGGTGGCCCCAACCCTCACGACAGCTGGGAAAGGCCAGCACGGTTTAAAGCCCTCTGTATTAGTTTCTTAGGGCTGCCTTACAAATTACCACAGGCTGGGTGGCTTAAAACAATGAAAATTTATTCTTTACAGTTCTGGGGGCTAGAAGTCGGAAATCAAGTTGGAAAGCACGGAGCTGAAGATGGAGTGGAGCTACTTTCCTGGAATAAATCCACTATTCCCCAAATTCCAGGGAAATTGATACACTGGAATAAAAAGAAATTGCAGTCAGAAATGGCTAGATTTACAATTTCCAGTGGATTCTATCAGCTATAGCCAAAGTGCAGGGGGTACACTGAGGCCTTTGGCTGTTCCTAACCACCAGTTTAGAAGGCCAGCTGGCTAAAGAGTGACACTGTGGACTTTGATCTCTGGGACGTGGATGTAAGACGGGGGCTGACAGAGAGCCTGGAGATCCGGCAGGGTCTAATGCTACTAGCCTATTGTGCTAGTAGTTAGCAACCTTCTGGATGAAAAGCAGATAGGGTGAGAGCAAGGCTCAGAAGTGATTTAATGTCACCAAGCCAGCTCTCCCCACAGAAAGAGCTGAGGGAGGGCAAACCACTGGGTGGACAAAGGGAAATACAGTCCCTTCTCATTATTCACAGTGGTTATGTTCTACGATGTTGCCACAAACACTGAATTAGCAAATACTGAACCATTGCTTCCAGGGCAAATGCAGAGTTAGGTTACGGGAAGCCCCTGGTAACAACATTGGAGTCAACTGATCAATACATAACCTTATGTTGTTTCCGTTTAAAGACACTTTATTTTGCATATGCTGTTGATTTATTAACATTGAACTCACAGCCAACAGCACTATAACTCAGGCCTGAACGGAGATTATCTAACATAGACATTTTCTCCGTAAGGCATATCACAGCCTTCTTGTGCTTAGGAATATTAGACAGCACTTCAGCACAATGCTTCAGGGCCACTTTAAACAACAGAATCACCAACAAAAAGCACAAAAATTCATGGGGCTGGCCTGGTGGCGCAAGCGGTTATGTGCACGTGCTCTGCTGCGGCGGCCTGGGGTTTGCCGGTTCAGATCCCGGGCACGCACCAATGCATCGCTTGTCGAGCCATGCTGTGGTGGCATCCCATATAAAGTAGAGGAAGATGGGCATGGATGTTAGCTCAGGGCCAGTCTTCGTCAGCAAAAAGAGGAGGATTGGCAGATGTTAGCTCACGGCCGATCTTCCTCACATAAAAAAAAAAAAAAAAGCACAAAAATTCAAAATAGCACAAGGCTGAGGAGGGCAGACTGCCACAGTTGGGACTGCTGAGGAAGGAGCTGACCTCTGGTGCCCCAGCAGCGAGGGCAGGAAGGAGGTGGATTGGTGAGGCTGCCAAATGCTGCAGCAGCAAACTCCTCTCTCCGCGCGACTTCTTTCCTTTTCCACCTTCCTCCTCTTCCCACCTCCCACCCCTCTTGTCTCCTCACCTACCTCCTAGAGCCCTCTGTGGCTCCCTGTGGCCTGCTGCCCAGACTGCCGGTGTCTGACCCAGCTGATGGATGCGGCCAGGCAGCCCAGACTGACTCCCCTAAGAACAGACTCTGTAAGCCTTGCTCGTTCTGCCACGACACTGCGGGAGGGAGGGACACCTTGCCTATGGGTCTGTTCCCGACTGTGTGATTGCTCACCAGGATCTCCCAGGGCTACCTTCCCTTCAGCCTCCCATTGTGGTCTCTACCATAACCTGCATTAGACTCACTTGGGAGGCTTTTTAGAAATGTAGATGCCAGGAACAGGTCAGTGAGAGCTTCTAGGGCTGGGACTAGTAGCATCCCAGTGAGAAGTGAGGAGGCTGGCCTGACAAATCTGAATATTCGATGATCCTCAGCCCTGCCGAGCTTGTGTGCATTTTCCTAGGCCGTGGCATCCCCCGCCTCCACCCCAGAAACCCAGAATTCTCTGGATAATCAGGTAAATGATGTCACTTATAATAGGGGGAATGACATTTACCCTATTTTAATTTAAATGTGACAAACTTTCTCACATTCTTAAATGCTTGTCTTCAAAAATGTATGTCATTTAAGAATGCAGAGTTTTTCAATTAGAATATTCTTACTAGAGCCAGAGGCTAAAGGGCATCTTTACATGACACAGAATCACTCAGCTATCTGGGTGTCTTTCAAGGTCTCCTTGCACAATTACTTTCCAGGACGGTTTTAATGAAACAGAGCTAGATATGACGATTTCACACAAGATTTCAGACCGGAAAGTAAGACAAATTCTTTGTTTCCATATTCTCGCAGGGTCATCACTCGATCTGAACTACTCTGTGATGCAGAAGAGCGTTTGCGTTTGCTCCACTGTGGGGAGAGGGAGGAGGCCCTCCCCTCGCTGAGGCTGCTCTCTGCAGCAGCAGTTAGGAAGCTGGCGTAAGCATGGGAGTGGACTAGGGAGCCTGCGCTGTGTGGGCCCTAGAACTTGAAGGGGACAGGAGCCATGTGAGGGAGGGAAGGCAGGAGCCGTGGATGGGGTCGACATGAGTACAAGGCACAGGGCTGGGAGGGCAGGAGTGTTCAGAGGATGGTACGGAGCAAGGGGCTGGAGTTTAGGCTGTGGGGTGGATATGGGCTTGGAGGAGGATGAGCCTGGCAGGGCTGAGGCTGGTGGAAAGGCAGGGCTTGCCTGTGAGGCGTCCAGATACCAGGCTAAGCAGCACTGTGTAGACGAGGGTTTCTACCTCTGGAAAGACTCTCCAGCTGCAGTGTAGAGAGTAGCTAGCACAGCTCCAGAGGAGGCAGGGAGGCCAGGACAGAGGCTGTTATATGGCCTCGAGCTGAGACAGGGGCTGCCAGGCTGGAGGACTCGCTGAGGGTGGGGCTTTCCTCTTGGGGTCAGTCAGTGACACAGTGCCAGGATGTCCGTGGGTGGGGCCATATGATGTAGACCCCCAGAATCTTGTCCACCCTCCCTGCCTGCTTCAGCACCCACGCCGTAGTCTGCCCCTGCTTCTCTCTCCTTGCTCCTTCTCAAGCCTCTCCTCAAGGAAGTGGGGGACAGTGGTATGGCCACTGGCCTGTCACCCATGTATGGAACTTGTAGCCTCATCTCTTGAGCACAGGGACTGCATCAGCTTTGGTTTCTAATGGGTGGAAGACTAGGCCTGGGAGTCGCCTTGGACAAGTTAGTGTCTGCAAAATACTGTCCTAGAGTATTTCCAGACTGGTCATTAGTGAGGAAGTCAAGAACACAGAGGAGGGACGCAGGAATCCAAGTGTGGTCTCACAGTGGCCGTGTCCTTCTTTGCGTCTCTCCTCCCCGGTCATGAGCACAGCAGCCGAATGGATAAGGATTTTCAAATGTTAGAAAGGATCGGAAAAGAAGGCGTTCCTGGTTAAAGGCAGGTAAACAGCAGAGCCCGACTGAGATCCACTCCTCCTGACATGGAGTCCTGGGCTCTCCTTTGGTAATATTTTGATGGATGAAACCATGCCTTCCGTGTTTTTCGAAATTCTCTGTGGAGCCTAGTTCTCTGAACTTGGAGCTAGATTCAACTGACCTTCGTCCTTGGGACAAAGACCTGGTACACAGGCCCGGTCCAGGTAAACAAAGGGAGAGCAGGTCTGAGCCCTTGCTCTCTGAAGTGGCAAACCTCATGTCCTGCTACAGATCTGTCACAGCCCGGGAGACCTGACCCACCCGGCTCACCACGGCAGCAGCAATGGGTCAGAACGTGGAGGTGTGGAAGCAGATGTTTCAGGAATTAATTCAGGAGGTGAAACCATGGCACAAGTGGACCCTGACACCAGACGGAAGCCTTCTTCCTGGCATCCTGAAACCGGGGTGGACACAATATCAGCAGTGGAACTTTGCCAGGTGAGTGGGGAATGCAACGATACATATTCCAGAAAATGCTTGCTTATTTCTTACTGTATGTACTCGTTACCTTTCTTGTTCCGTTCCATGCTTGTAAGTTGAAGATTACAGGAAGTAAGGTACCTATCATCCAAGAAGTTTTAGCCTCATTAAAGATTTTTTTCCTTCTTACAATGAACCCCAGAATAGTAGCGGGACTGGACACTGCTGTGGGCTAATGCCTAGATTCAGAGAAATCAGGCTACGAGGAGTGAAGGTGAGGAGCAGTGAGATAAAGAGAAGGGGAGGAATGGTGACTATTTTGCTCAATGGCGGGAGAGCCAGCTGAGCAAAGCTTGCTGCATATGCTCCCTGCCTTGGGAGACCTGGGGTCCACCATGGAGCCCATGAGGGAGAGGCCCTGGGTGCTGAGGAGACCCCCTCAGGGAGGGGGCAGAGAACAGGGGGAGCTGAGCAACACACAGCAATCTTACCCCTCTCTACTCTGAGCTAACGGAGTCTTTTTAAGATGGGACCCTTAGAAGCCACTAAAAGTCTCACTCTCTCTTTTCTAGGTAGGAGAGCAGAGCCCCAAGGATGGGGGGTTGTCCACCCTCACGGATGGTGCGGGCCAGGGACTCTATCTTGGGACTGAGGCAGGGGCTCATTGCCTGCCCGCTGCCCCCTCTTTGGGGGAGGGTCTGAGCAGCGGAAGCAGAGCTCTCCTCTCCTTGAGACCCGTGGTTTTCCTGGGCCAGGAGCTGGCACCAGGAGCATCCTGACAAAGTCTGAACTCATTTTTTTATAAGAACTTTGAACTCTGAGCTGGTACACGAGCAAAGCAGCATGACCCAGGGGGAGGGCAGGGGACTGCAGCTCAGGAGAACAGGGCCTGGGCCCTTTGCACCGCCCGTGCTCTCAATGACTCCCGCAAGGTCATCCCATCACAGTGGTCAGAGCTTCTTGGCGTCTTCCCTTCATTTCATCCTCATGTTCGCTCTGTGAGGTGAGGCTAGAATCAATACAGGAGGGAACACTGACTGACTCATTCTTCCCAGCCCCCTTGATTCACCATCCCAGACTTCCGGGGCTCCTGTGCATCAAGCCAAGGCTAGGCTTGGTTACTGTAACAAATAAACCGTGAAATATCAGTGATTTAACCTAACGCGTGGCTCCCACAGTCACCAAGGCAGAGAAGGAGAGAGCTAGAAGATCTTCCAAGGGCTTCTGTGCCAGATCCGGAAGTAGCATATATCACTTCTGCCCACGTCCCATTAGCCACTGGTCACATCACCCGAAACTAACTGCAAAGGGGCAGGGAAATGGGAGGGAGTGCATGGATAATTTGGTGAGCACTAAATGTCCCAGCCATACTGCAGCCTTCTGCTCTCCCGTAATTCCTATCCTAGGTGCAGCCATGTGCTTCCCTTCTCTCCATCTGTCCTGACATGTCCTAACATCCAACTATTGTAGCTTAGAAAACTGCCCTCCTCCCTGCTGAGATGAGATGTCATTCTCTTGTACCCTGTCTGAGGCCAGGAGCATGAGGAATATGAAGTTTTTTGGGCTACCTTGCACAATGAATTGGGTTAGAGGGAGGCAAAAGAAGAGAGAGCTGGACACTGTGATCTCCCTGTAATACTGACAGATCAGGGGCCCTGGGCAACTGAGGGCAAAGCAATGCTTTTCCCTAGGACACTGGACTGTTTAGGGTCCCTCCCTAATCCTTGGGTCCATGGCTTACTGTTTTAGTCCAGTCAGCCTGTTATAAAAAAAAAAAAAAAAATACCACAGGGGGCTGGCCCGTGACGTAGTGGCTAAGTTTGCATACTCCGTGTCAGCGGCCCAGGGTTCACCGGTTCAGATCCTGGGCATGGACCTATGCACCGCTCATCAAGCCATGCTGTTGCGGCATCCCATATACAGAATAGAGGAAGATGGGCACAGATGTTAGCTCAGGACTAATCTTCCTCAGCAAAAAGAGGAAGATTGGCAACGGACGTTAGCTCAGGGCCGATCTTGCTTACCAAAAAAAAAAAAAAAATACCACAGCCGGGCAGCTTATAAACAACAGAAATACATTGCTCACAGTTCTGGAGGCTGGAAGTCCAAGATCAGAGTGCCAGCTGGTCAGATGAGGGCCCTCTTCTGTGTCACAGACTTCCCATTGTACCCTCATATGGCAGAAGGAGCTGGGGAACTCTGTGGATCTCTTTTATAAGGGCACTAATCCCATTCACAAGGGCTCCACTCTCATGACCTAAGCACCTCCCAAAGACCCCACATTCTAACACCATCACCTTGGGCATTAGGATTCCAACATTTGAATTTGTGAGGGGACACAAACATTCAGACTGTAGCATGTACCAACACCCACTTGTATCCACTTATGGATTTCAGTTCAGGGTTCTCGGGGCTGATTTAATGGCTGCTGTTGCACTTGGAGTCTTTGATCCACTTAAATCCGCACTTGAAGAAGCCTTGATTTGGGGCCAGGAGACTGGAGTTCTAGTCCTGCCTCTTACACCCACCAGGTCTCTGGGCATGACAAGTTTCCAGTGTGTGCCTCATCTCTAAAACGATCACGTTGGACTTAGAAGTCACCCAAGATCCCTTCCAGCTCTCATGACTTGTGCTTTGCTATTGTCATGATAGACACCTGTGGGTCACACAGCGTGCTGGTGGCACAATAGAAATAGGAATGAAGGGCTGGGTAATTCCTTCCCCCACTAATCCATGACCCCAGTCAAGTCGCTCTCTGTGTTGTCAGTAGCTCCTTCTTTCCTCTGGCACGGCCCAGTCGGCCATATCGAACCAAGCTGAGAATCTTGTCTTCTGTGTCCACAGATTCCAGTGCTCCTTGTGCTCCCGCAGTTGGGCCTCCTCCCAAGTTCAGATCCTCTTCCACATGCACTGGAGTGAGGGTGGATGCAGGGGCCGGGTGAAGATGAGGGTCTTTGCCCAGAGATGTCAAAAGTGCTCTCAGCCTCCATTTGAGGTTCCCGAGTTCACGAACGAGAACATCTCAAGGATCCTGAGCAACCTGGTGTTCCAAATTCTGAAGAAGTGCTATAGAGAAGAATTTAAGTTGACTGAGGAGATTCCGGAAACCTCTTGTGAAGGGCCACACGACAGTGACAACTGCGAGGCATGTCTGCTAGGCTTCTGTGCTCAGAGTGGGAAAGGCCTGGCCGTGCAGTCACCAGTGTTTCTAGCACTTCCCACAATAAGCTCACCTACCCTCAGCATCACCATGCACCAGCCTTTTCCCACAAGGAATGGCACCACTGCAGGTGCAGTGAAGAAAGGAAAGGTCTTACTCAGCCCCTGGTTTTCTGGGCCCACACGGTCTGCTAGCTTCCCCACCTACTGGAGCCCAGGAGAAAACCCCAACTACCAGGAGGAGAGGGAAGTCCAGGACCCCCTCTCAAGTGATAGGTTCTACTCCTACACAAACCAGACCCCACTGCGCAGGACCTTAGGTCTGTGCTGCTGTTGTCTCATTCTAATCATTATCATCATTATTGCTGTAACAGTCAGTATCCGAGTCTCAAAAACATGATGTTAAATTAAAAAAATCAGACATACAAAGTCACATATTGTATGATCCCATTGATATGAAATATTCAGAATAGGTAAATCCAGAGAAAGGAAGTAGATTGATGGCTACCCAGGGGCTGGAGGGAGAGGGGAAATGGGGAGCCACTATTTAATCAGTATGGGTTTTTTGCGGGGGTGATGAAAATGTTTTGGAACAAGGTAGAGGTGGTGCTTGCACAATACTGTGAATGCACTAAATGCCATTGAATTGTTCACTTTAAAATGGTTAATTTAATGTGAATTTCGCCTCAATTAAAACAAAAAAAGAACGCCGTAATTTTGTTCATTCTCTAGAAAACTGGAACTCAAGCGTTTATGGCTTACAGAACAATCTGGAAATCTTATGAAACCTGTGGGCCCTCTCACCAGAAAATTTTGCACAGACCCCCTGAGGTCAGTCTGTGGACGCATTTGCAGTCGAAAGCATTAGGCTGAAAACCCAGGTTCTAAAGCAGTGGTCTCCACAGCAGCTGAGGGATGAGGCAGGACAGTCTGCTGAGGTGAGGGAGATATCCTTAGAACTCTGTTTAATTTCTCTTCATACTTTACTATTTCTTGTTGCATGTTTTATAATGTATGCTAATATATTAGTGGAATGGTATAGTGATATAATCTATAAATAAATAAATATACACCCATTTGGAGTGTGTGCTCGATTTTTCATTGACAGGGTTGCACCTTCACAAACACTGGGGGGACCCCTGTTCTGAAGGGCCAAGTGTGGAAGTCTGTATGCAGATTCTCATCAAGATTCTGAAACCAAGTAGCTTTTACCAAGTTTTCTGTTCTCATTAATGAGAATCATTTTAAGACTCATTTTCACATCTTTTTTGGTCAAAAAATATGAATCCTTCAGTTTACGTGGCTAAAATGAAAGCAACAGTCGTTTAAGGCAGATATGCCTTTTCTCTCACCCTCCCTACCCTCCTCCATCCATCTGCCCCTCCTGTCTACTACGCAGGTTGTTCCCAAGGGCACGTTGTTGGCCAGGTTGAGCTCCAGCCTGCACCCTTGCGGCTCCCTCTGGGGCAAACTCGAGAACTTTTTCATTTTGCAGAACTGAAACTCTATGCCCATTGAACAACTCTCCTTTTCTCCCTCTCTCTAGGCTCTGCTAACCACCAGTCTTCTTTCTGCTTCTATAAATTTGACTACTTTAGATACCTCAAACATGTGGTATTATACAGCATTTGTCTTCTTGTAACTGGCTGATTTCACTTAGCACAATGTTCTCAAGGTTCATCCATGTTGTAGCATGTGACAGGATTTCCTTCCTTTTTAAGGCTGGATAACATTCCATAGTATGTAAATATCACATTTTGTTTATCCATTCATCCATCTATAGACCCTTGGATTTCTTCCACCTCTTGGCTATTGTGAGTAGTGCTGCTGTGAACATGGGTGTACAAATATCTCTTTGAAACCCTGCTTTCAACTCTTTTGGATATATACTCAGAAGTGGAATTGCTGAATCATATGATATCTCTAATTTTAGTGTTTTGAAGAACCACAATAATGTTCTGCATAACAAACAAACTGTTTTACAATCCCATCAACGGTGCACAAGAATTCCAATTTCTCCACATTCTAGCCAACACTTATTTTCTGTTATTTTTTTTAATAAGAGCCATGCATATGGATGTGAGGTGATATCTCATTGTCTCTTTGATTTGCATTTCTAGAAAATGCAATTTTTTATGATGCAAGTTTACACTTTCAAGGCAATATCAGAAATCATATTTATACATCTCAGTACAGAGATAAGTATTGGGAACACAACAGAAATGCGTGGGTAGATTCTTCACAGACTTGCTATTCACTTTCAAACATTCAAGCACAGTCTATATATCTGTATTAGGCAAACTCCAGGAACCTAAAATGTAATAGTGGGACAAGCCAGGTACAAGCACATGCCTAAGAAACAAGCATGTAAGGGAAACAAGTGTGCCCCAGCAGCCACAAAAAGCTGGAAGCTGCGTGATCAGTGAGGTAGGGAAGATGTGCTGGGTCGTTAATAGAAAAAGAGGTTCTTGGTGGGAGGCAAATCATAAAATATTAAAGATAGATCAGCCTTAGAAAGTGTCTTCTCCAACTCTGTTTTTTACAGGTGGGGAAAATGAGGCTCATTCAAAGATGAAAGGATTTTCCCAAGATTACACAGTGATTAGTAAAAGAGCTGCCTTGCAATCCCAGCTCCCTGAGTCCCAATGTTGACCAGCTTTCAAAAGAGGGTAGAATGTGCATGTGTGTGTGTGTGCATATTTGCACAATAAAGAGATGGCACATACAGGATATGCAAAACATTTGCCGACATCTCTCCCAGAAAAAGACTCTACTGTATTCAAAGACAGGCAGGGATGGATGGAATGATTTAGAGCATGTCAATAAGGAAAACAAACTAGAAAATGGTAGAAAAGTTAATTAGGACATTGAGGGAAGTGGAAGTTAAACTATTTGTGAGCTCACTGAAGACTAAAGTCAAGAATTTTAATATCAAGAAAGAAACGGAAAGCTCTTCAAAATTCTAAGAATGCCTATTACATGATAAAAACTTACTTTGATGACAAATATTGCTACTGACAAGTAGGGTGGGAGAAGCTGGGAAAGGAGAAACTAGGAAAAGTGTTGTCCCTGTGAATCAGGAACGGACCAGAGTTAGGACAGGAAAAGCTAGAATCAAGGAAGTATTTTAAAGAAATGAGAAAGATCTGTGGATTTTTTTAACAGGTGATTTTTTTAAAGAAAATTATATAGAATTGTAACAGCTAGATCTTAAGTTAGCAGGAGGTAAGCCCTCTTAGGAAAAGGAAGAAATATTGTTACTATGACCCTGACTCACTAGTCTCTTTGAATGCCCTCTAGTCTGCATGTAGCCTAGATGATTAAGCACCTCTCACTTTTGCAAAATACATGATCTGCTAGTTCTATGACTCTTGCTTACGTATATCTTCCAGCTGTGATAAGAAGATAACTTTGTTCTCTGAGTTCCCCAGGAACATGACGACTTCCAGAAAGAAAAATTCTGTATTAGTATCCATCACAAATGACAAAAGAAAGAGATAATGTGGTGCCTTGAATTTCATCACACTGGATGGTCAACATCCCTAAACCCCCTCCTTCCCTGCCCATTTCCCCTATAAATAACTGCCTCAAGATTCTGTACGATTTGAAGATGGTTCTTTAGGCCACCAGTCTGCCATTTTCCAATTATGCTAGCTAATTGTATAAACTTTCCTTTCTCAACTGCCAGCTTGTTTGCAATTGATTGGCACCAGATTGTGGCAAGCAGAATGAGCCCCTTTTGCTTGGTTACAGAATTACACATTTGGAAGACCAAGAAAATATTGTTAATGGAGCTTTGGAAAGTGGAGGAAGAATATAAACGCATCTGTAATATGTCTGATTTAATGTCAGTGGGATTCCCAAATGGAGCTGCCCTGTAGAGAAGGAGAAACAAAAAAACAGGTGACAACATTCAAGGTCAGAGCTGGCATAAGAAAACTGAGAGTTATCTAGGAATCAAAATGAACTCATTTTAAAAAAAGAATAATTACCCTCAATAAAATTATAAAATACAAAATCTTGGCTCAAATAGAGAATGTCTTCGAGTGAAAACGTAATTCATTCTAAGCCAGTAGAATATGTACCTCAGTAAGTAATACAGGCATTTCCTACACTAACCTGATAACTAAGGAATCCCAGGAAGAGACATCCTAAAGAATCAGAAATCTCTTCCAGGTTACTCCGTGAAGCTAGTATTACCCTCTATAGGACAAACATCATTGTCAGCATTGGGCATATTGCAGAAGGAGCTTGAAGAGAGATATTTACCCTGCACAATTATTTAAAATTTATATAAATAGCAAGTACTTCTCACTTGGCAGCATTGAAATAACATCTCTGGAAAATAATAAGCCTTACTGTGAACTTGAATCACAATACCTCCCCAAAATATTAAGCCTACTATTGCAGAGAATACTGTTTGCCCAGGCCCTCGGGAAGTTCTGTACAGAAGTTAGCAGAACAAAGCTTTCTGAATGATTCCTTCACCTCTAATGTTTTTACTTTTTCCTTTGCTTTTTGCCTCTATTGCACATGAATCCAGAGAAGAGCGATTCATAAAGGACTCTCCATCCACAAGGCATATTTTTCAGGAAAACCACGACCCTGGCAACAGGGTGGAATCCATTAAATTGAAATGAATAAATAGCCTTTCAAAATCTCCACCTTGAACTCCTACAGTGTGTCTCTTTTGCTTTCGTCTATTTCTTCCACAGACATGAGGCAGCAGGAGAATTTAAGGAAACTACATGAAACCTCATTTGGAACCCAAAACAACTAGGAGAAAAATAGATACATTTATCACAGTCTCAGTCCAGGCTGGTGTCAGAAAGGAATGTTCACAAGACCAGAGAGCATAGTCTCCCAGCCAGTGAATCTGGAGTGCAAGCAGCAGTCTAGAAAGTCATAGTGCAAGGTAAGCCCCTCCACCTACCGCCTTCTGATCTCCCAATAGGAGTGTGGCAGGACTTAGCTGAGGGCTTATAAATTCCTTTCTCCACGCCTTCCTTTCTTCTACATGCCATGGGTAACCAAAGCAGGCATGTATGTCTCTGGCATATAACCAAAAGTGGGCAAATATTACAAGTTAGACCTAATGGCTGATGTTTTCTTTAAGGACAGGAGAATAAACATCTTACCATTTCTCTATTTACTATAGCTATCTCTCAACACTGTCGTCTCTTTCTTGAACCTTCCCTTATTTTCCACATTTCATGGAAGGCTTAAAATCTGAAAATTTTTATCAGGGGCCATTTAAACCAAATGTTTCAAGACAACAGGCGAACAGGCAAATGAAGTGGGGTCTGCCCTGATAACTTAGTGCAGAGGAGTGTCATAGACCATCGGCCCCTGCAGAAGTTTACAAAATATGCTCAGAAAGTCACAAAACATTCTAGAAGTAGGAACCCCAAGTCTTATTTTGGACCGATTCATTGCTTGCTCTTGGGTTGTAGGTGCTCCCTGGGTCAACCAGCCATAAATGAAATTAGACAGTAGTGTGGCAGCTGATGACTGAAGACTGGAGTCCTAGCCCCAGATTATGTCCCTTCCTCCCTCAAGGCCACAACTCTGCCGACGCGAGCTCAGCCTTGGGTCCTCTGTCCCCCTGGTGAATTTCACAGTCAAGGCAAGTTTATCTATTTAATGTCATATCTTCTTTGATTCAATTACCAGTGTTTGGCTGATTTCTTTCCTAAGAATTATGAGTGGTGCTCAAGCCCAACACTCAGATATAATTTGTTCCACCTGTAATTTATCTAACACTACAATAAAACAGCTTAAGCATCTCAATTTTTCGTTCTGATGATATAGCTAGATATTCTAAGGGAAGATTTTCGAGCTGCCTGTTAATATTGCAGTTTGGCACCATTTCAAGTTTTAAAGCTTAGATTTAATTTCCTAAGTTTCAGAAATAAATCAAACATACATACCATAAAATAAGCATTTAAACCTACATACGCCACAAAACAATACCTCAAAGTATCTAAGTTTCCTTCCCACTCAGAAGTAAAGAGAGGCATTGAGACAGGAAAGAACAGAAGCAGACAGAAAGGGAAAGAGAGTAACTGATTTCCCGAGCTTACTGCTTGCAGTCATCATAAGTTATCCCAAACTGGTGTTGGCAAGCATGCCCAATGGTCATTCTAGAAAGCTAGAGTCCAGAAATCTGGTGTGGATCTTGCCATTAATAAAAAATGCACTACTCAATGATTCCACCTAAGCGTCTTTGCCCCTTAACCTCCAACGTATGAAAAATGGGTATAATGATAAGCTTTTGCAACCAGAACATTTTTCTGCTAAGAATTATATTTTATTCTTTCATATTGCTTTAATGTTCATACATATATTCTGCTATGTAAACTACTTTTCCAAATTATGTATCAGTCCATATGCCACATGTAAAAATTTCAAATCTCTATATTTCCACTAAGATGCATATTCTACTTTAGAATCTCTCTGCATTTTTACATTTATATGAATAAATTAAATAGTATCTCTACAAGCATCATATTCAAACAATATATTTGTTTTGTTTATTATGTAACATGAAATAATTATATATCAATGCAGTATTTTTTTCATTTATTTATGTAACACTGAGACAAGGTTTTGCACAAAAGACTGGTTTTATTGAAATAAAATTTACAGAAGTAATAGACAGTCAATTTGTGTGACAGCCCCCATTTCCCCCCTTTTCAGATATATTTTCCATTTAACTATATATAACATATTCTTTGGCATGAAATAAAATTCCAAAATCATTCAAGTAGTACAACTAATAAATTTGAATTCTATTTTTAAAGAGTTAAAAAAGAAAAAGACAATTGTTTGAGGTTTAATTAAAGTGATTTCTCATTTTCCTACTCTTTTCGTCTCTTGACCTACTGCTCAGTTTGTTTTTAAGTTGAAGCAATCCTCTACTGAAGCATTACCATGTGGTCTTAGAATGCTCTGCCTGTTTTACATCTGTTGAGGATAAAACATTTGGAATTATGATTAAGCCTGTCAAGACAAAATATTGAGGTGTCAACAGTAACCCCTCTGGGGATAGACTGGTTCTTCAGATAAGAGGAAATAAAAGTCACCCTTCATTTCTAGCCCAGTTTAACTTCTAAAAAACCCAACTGGCTAGACCTGTGCTGTCCAATATGGTAACCATCTGTGGCTATTTAAATTTAAATTTAATTAAAAACTTAGTTCTTCAGTCCACCAGTCATTGTTCAAGTGCTCAAGAAGCACACGTGTCTGGTGGTTACTATATTGGACAGCATAGATATAGAACATTTCCATCACTGCAGAGAGTTCTATTGGACAGCAAGGGGCTAGACCAGATAGAAGTCAATTCATATAAACATATACATGAATATATGCATTTTTTTCCTTCTTAGTCACAAAAGCCACTTTTTCAAGCTTATCTTCAACACACAATTCTGTTTATTTTAGCCAAAGATAATGGTATAAAAATAGATATTTGTACAATTTCTCCAAATCACACGATGTGATGTAAGAGTCCAAAGCCCAGTAATGAATCCCATCTTTGCCAATTTAAATACAGTCTCGTGAGCTCCCTCTGGACCACAGCATCTTGGTCATAGGCAGAGTCCTCCTGTGGTAGCCATGAAGAAGCTAGGCCACTCCTCATCAATGTAGACTGGTCATCTCCACTATCCTATATGGCCAACTTAGAGGAGGGGTCCAAAAGGGCATGGCCTCTGCTCCCTGCTCTCAGGTGGGTCCCGGGACCCCCAAGGTGCCCATTCAGGGCAGGATGACCAGCCATGCAGGCCCTGCAAGGCTTCCCATGACCAGCCAGGCCCACACTTCCTCCACTAGGGCTACCAGCGCACCATCTGAGCGCCTCGTGCCCAATGCACAGGCAGACATTCCAGCCCTTCTTTCTACCTTCAAGGACCAGATTACACCTAAAGTATCTCCTGAGAGCCTATACTTGCAAAATATAATTTAAAATATATGGAACTAGCAGTTTGTATAAGCTCAAGGAAAATTATTCTTGTTAAAGGAATAATGCATTAAAACTCTTCCAAAATAACAAAATAAAATAAACTCTCATCTGACTAGTCCAATATAAATGCTCTTTTCACAACCCGTTTATCCCTTGATTCCTGAAAACAATGCAATCAACTTCAGAATTTGGTCTTTAAGTTATAATTTAAAAAAATAATATATTTTCTAAAATATAAATGTGTATTATTTGGAAAGAGTGTATACAAATGAACCTGTAAATATCAATATATAAACCCATTTATCAATTCTCCAGTCCACAGAGAGAGGTATTCATATATCTGAAATCTGAAAATCATTTTTGCTAACAACTATGACCATGGTTTCTAGACTCTGTCCTTAAGCACAAGCCATTATTTCTACATGACATGACCCACAATGTGAAGATTTACAGCTCCACAGCGTAGCGAGATTCTGCAGGCTTCTGATGGATGGTATCAAAGCTGAAGGCTAAAAGATACTTTGGTGGTATAGCTGGGAACCGAATCTGTAACAAAAGGAAAAAATACACTCAATCATTCTCCATTTCATTATGAAGTATAACCACATGCCATGGCCTACGTCAATACACAGATTATTGCCACTTCATATTTTAAGGGTAGAGATAAACGCATTTATCACCACCAAGTCTGCCATCACAAAGATGTAGTCATACTTTAGAAATATTTAGATCTACAATAGAATAAGATAAAATTATTAACTCTCGTTCTTTTGCAATCTTTCCAACCAACTCACACAGCTACATCAGGATCCTGCAAACGGTGTGTCCCTAAAATAACAAAAGTTGACAAAATAGAAATAGATGACCAAGGACTTGGGACTTTGGATACCAGGTGGAAAGGAATACAGTTTATAAGAGAAGTTTGGGCTATTTCTAAACCAAGCACAATCTTAGGAAGATCTCAGTCTTGCTCTTCCCTCTGGTTACTACCCACTCTCTCTCTCCACAGCCAAATTTTGTCAAAGGATGGTCTATACCAGTGGTTCTCGAGGTGTGCTTCTCGGACCCAGGCATCAACATCACCTGGGAACTTGTTAGAAATGCACATTCTCAGGCCTCCCCCCAGACCTGATGAGTCAAAAACTCTGAGGGTGGCGCCTGCAGGTGATTCTTATGTTCACTAACGTCTGAGGACCAGTGAGGGCTTCACTTCCTCATCATTCTTGAATCACACGAGGTTGGAGGTCCATGTGGACTCACTAAATCTACTTTTTTCCTTATAGCCACGGACTCTGTGACTGACTCAGACATTAGCCTGATGAGGAAGGAGAGAAAACAGAGAAGACACCATGATGAAGAAAAGAAAACAAACAAAAAATTCAAAGCACATGCCTGACCACGTATAGGTTGAACTATTAAGAAATCACCATTTTTGTAGGTCAAAACCAGCTGAATATTAGCAGTATCATTTGGTTCAACCTAACATGAATATATGAAGGATAGAATTATTATAATTATTTAGAAATAAGTGAATGAATTCAAAAATCTATCATCACTAACTTAATTTTTAAAAGCAAATTATTTCATTGCTGGCCACATAGATCCAAAGCTTAATACCTATTTTCTCTAATTCTTTCTTGCATTTTTACACTATAGCACTAAAATATAATTATGAATAAATTAATAAAATACAACAATAAAGTTTTTCACAAGAGGAAAATTATACAACCCAAGAGGAAAATTATACAAGATAATTTTTGACAAATAAACACTTCTGTTATTTCAGTTTCATGTTTAATATAAATTTCTAATTTATTTCATAATATTTCAGCATTCAAGATTAAGGATGGCCAAATAGATTAGAGGTAACTGTATAGAAATTTTCTTAATTTAGTTGAAAAAATTTTTAATTTGCCAAATAAATGGTATTTTAATGTCATGAAACCTCTGAATATCTGGATGTGACTAATCACCTTCAGGCATCTACTAACAGGGGAGGAGTAAGCTCACAGGCATGGCATGTTCTGAGGGTGACTTGGGGAACCTGCCCACAAGTGCTCATCTTCAAAGTCTTGGGGGCCAGGGCTACCTCCTCCCTAAATCCACATGCATGTCACCTTTCTTTCTGTCAGGTCTGCACTTAGCTTACCAAAAAAAGAGAACTGAAAAATGAAGGGATAATTCTCAGGCATCCACACCCAAAAAGCAGATGGTGATTAAAAGAACAAAGACTGACTTATGCCCTTTTCCTGTGTATGTATGCTGGTACAGGAGGCAAGGGCTCTAAGTCTTATGGAACACTCTGGAAATAACCACTGGGAAAAACACCCCACCCTTTCCTGAGGTACTATGATGGCCCATCTTCCTCCATATTATCACCACCCTATGGGAAACCAAAACTAAATGGATCTATTTACTAATCTGCCATCTTGTCTTTTTCCTTTTGTGATTTTTATATAGCTGTACCTTGATTTACATAAGAGATGACTTTTTCTCAAGTTGAATTTAAATGAATTTTGAAATGGAACCTTATTTTCCCATTAATTCGGATACTCTTCTGTCGATGTCACTTAGTTAAAAACTCATGTACAGTTAGTAATGTGACCCTCATGTTTTTTTGGGGAGTTTTTTTTGCTGAGGAAGATTCTCCCTGAGCTAACATCTGTTGCCAATCTTCCTTTTTTCTTGCTTGAGGAAGATTAACCCTGAGCTGACATCTGTGCCAGTCTTCCTCTACTTTGTATGTGGGTCACCGCCACAGCATGGCTCACAAGTGGTGTAGGTCTGCGCCCAGGATCTGAACCTGTGAACCCAGGCTGAGGCGGAGAGTGCTGAACTCTAACCACTATGCCACAGGACCCCAACCCTCACATTTAAAGTGTATGTTTCCCAGTCTCTCTGCCAAATAGTTGATGATGTATCAAGCATTCAAGTGCACTAAGAAAATTTGATATTTTAAGGAAATTACTTTTTTTTGGTAAATAGAAAAATAATTTATAAAGTAAGCTGCCTCTAACCAATTACCTTTTTGTCAATTTGACTTATATCAATAAATGTGTTACAGGAGTGAATGGAATTCTGTATATTCATTTTAAATAATTTTAAATGTGAGTAACCTACCTCTTTCTTTAATATCTTCAATATAGGCTTTCATAAATTCTTTATCAAAGTGTTGACGATCTCGTTCACTTTCCATCACTTCATCACCATCTTGACACTGGGTATTATCAATAGGATTGTCCTTAAGGCTGACAAATCTATTCAAGAAAATATGGACAATATCACATTTTCACCTGTGCATTTTTAACTGCAAAATTCCTCTCAAAGGAAGTCAACCTTTGTGGTCCTAAATCCCAAGTTCTTACTTATCCCTGAAAGTCACAGTTGACCACATAATATTAGTGTCACCAGTGGAATTCCACTGTGGAATAATCTAACAGGATTATGGAATCAGTCTTAAGGCAGAGACTGTTCAGAGGCCTGATGGGGAAATGAGAGCTACCTAGCCACAGACAGAGGACAGCAGGCAGGAGGCCATGAGGTGAACAACAGCACTTTCTCTCAGTCAGATCCTTAAAACTGTCTGATGTCTTCTTGTGTTTGATATTACTCCCCATTAGTGACATCAAACTCTAAAAGGAGGTGGCTAAATTTAAAAGGCCTCAGACAAAATCCCCACAAGAGGTATGAACTACTGTTACAAAAAAAAAAAGAAGCTAAAGAAGAGAAACTAAAATGGCATTTAATCTTCTGTCTTCACAATTTTGAAAGATGCTTTGATGTGAAAAACGATATAATTATTTCAATTCAAAATAGGAAATCCCTCAAATAGTCTTTGGTTGCAATTGCAGGCCCTGCCGTCTTGGGTATTAGCGTCTTTCTCATTGGTTTTAGAAGAGCTCTCTATATATAATGAAGATATGAGCCATATATCTGTCATATTTTAGTATATGTATTTCCTAGTTCATTTTCCTTTTAATTTTATTTATTGTCTAAATACGGAGAAAGCAAAAAAGTTTTAATTCTTATACAGACAGATTCATTCAACTTTTCCTTTGCAATCTCTTTCACCGAATTAATTTTTACCATCCTTCCCTATCCAAAAAAAGAAATATGCCTATATTTTATAATTCTTTAATTTCTTACTGTACATATTTTTAAATTTGAATAGTGCAATGATACTTTTTATTTAAAGCAGTAGTCTCTCTCTCTACCCCTTTGTTACTCTCAGATCCCAGAAGCAATCTCTTTGATTGGTCAATTCCTATTTTTACTTAATCTATTTGAAATATCTTCTACTGTAGGACAAATACTTTCATGTTATTCAATCAAGGGGAGATATTCCTTCCCTTCTCTCTACTTCCCCAACTCTCCCACCTCCCAGTTTTTGTGATCTATACTCTTACTTTTTCAACATTTTATTATGAAACTTTTCAAACATTCAGAAAAGTTGAAAAACTTCTACAGTGAACACCCCTGTCCCCACCACTTGGGTCCCACATTTAACCTTTGACCGCACTTGCTTTATCACATACCACTCATCTATCCACCCCCTGACCCATCTTAATTTTTGCTGCATTTCAAAGCACATCACAGACATCGTGAACCTTCACTGTTACATTGTTAATGTCCATGCCATTTGCATTCTGATCTGTAACCATATTTAACTTTTCTATCTCACCTGCAGTTTGATTCTAAAATGGAAAATCAATACACAGTATTTATATTTCTGTGACAATTATCTGGTAAGTCTTGGTAATGCCTTCATATTCGAGAATGAGGCAACAAAATGTTGGCAAGGCATGCGCATGTGCAGGCAGTGTTTGCCCAGGGGCCAGCCTCACTGTGGGTGACCACTCAGGCAGGGAACTAGCCAGTGCCCTGGGACTCCCCAAACACAAAACTCCAGGGTCTTCCCCCAGGGTCTTCCCCCAGGGTCACCCTAGAGGAAACCTCAGCTTTTGGGCAGGAGGCTGGACTGCTGGTGCTGATGGTCTGCTCGATGAACTTGAGGAGGAGATTGAACATGGGTTGGCCTGTTTAGATGAAATTTTCCTTTTTTTCCTTCTGTTTTTAGCACCGTGCCTCAGTCTGCATCTCCTTGTACTGGAATTTCTTACCACCAAGCTTCTTCTGAGTTCTCCAGGGCAGACGTGCCCATTGCTTGGTTTGTTCTCTGAGCTTCAGCCTATTTCATCCTGTTTTCATCAGTCATCACTGTTGTGTCTGCTCTATGTCTCCCATAAATGTGTTGAGGTCTCTCATTCACATATCGACCCATGTATTGAGTCACGTATTGACCAATACGTGGTCAATCCACCATCATTAACACAGTATATCTTATTCTTTTTATAGTTTCCTTTTAATATTTAATCTGTGGCTTAATCTAGATGTCTTTTTTTTTTTTTTTTTTTTTTAATTTTTTATTTATTTATTTTTTCCCCCCAAAGCCCCAGTAGATAGTTGTATGTCACAGTTGCACATCCCTCCGGCTGCCGTATGTGGGACTCGGCCCCAGCATGGCCGGAGAAGCGGTGCATTGGTGCACTCCCGGGATCCGAACCCGGGCCGCCAGCAGCGGAGCGCGCACACTTAACCGCCAAGCCACGGGGCCGGCCCTAGATGTCTTTCTATATGCTAAGAATACATCATATATATAGCTATATGCTATAAAGCTTCCTTATGCTCTAAAGTGAAGAACAGGCTTTATCTTTCTCTAACTTGCCAATTTCCTCAATGGTGTATTAAGTCATTCATACTCCCCACTGGCTTATGAAAATCCCTCTATCACATATTTGGGTCAATTTCAGGACTACCTGTTCTGTTCTAATAATTTATCTACAAATCATTGCCTAGAACCACATCGTTTTGATCATTACACATTTTAAACACACTGTAATTCTCAGTAAGGCAAATTCTGTCACATTACCCTGGTTTTCCAAAATCATCATTGCTATTCTGAGCTTTTTACCTTCAGATATACTTCCAAATCAGTTTTTCAATTTACAAAAAAGAAATCCCACTGAAGTCATGATTAGAATCATATTACACTTAGTATAATTTTTGGAAGAAATCATATCTTTACAGTCTTTTTATCCAGAAAAGACACAGTATATCTTTCCAAACATTCAAGACATCTTTGATATTCTTTTGGAACACTTTTTAGTTCCCTTCATAAAGGAGAACTAGCTTTCCTAGCATTTTTCCTAGATGTTTTGTATTTTTGGTTATTACTATTACGGCCATTATGTCTTCCATTATTTTTCAATAGGTTATTTCTAAGAAATCAGTAAGCTATTGAATTTTGAATGCAAATTTGTATCTAGTCTTTTTATTTAACTGTTATTAATTCAAAGAGCTTCTATCTGATTCTCTTAGATTTCCGAGTCCTACAATTATTTGAAATGACTTTAGTTACCGGCACACAGGTCACAGTTTACCTGACCAGCGTTCCCCTCCCGCCCTTAGACGTGAGACTGCTATGCCTGCTCCCGGATGCCTGAAGGTGGAAAGGGTTGTAGGGGTGGGTCTTGCTACCCCTCTCACCAGTGGGCCTCTTCTTATCCAGACAGCATTCCTCAGACAGTCAAGGCCAGTGGAAGGCCCGTTCTAGCAGAAGGAGGAGGGTGGGGCAGGGGGAGAAGATGTCTTATACCTTTGTTAATCTCATACTTATATAGGAATAAATGCAGTCTCTCTCTTCACAATAGCTAACCTCTTTATTTCTGTTTGCTAGGCATCTTACTGCAGGGGCCAGAAGATAAGGAAAATCTATGCTGATAGTGAGCATTTGCCACTGAGAGAACTGGGAGTCCCAGGAAATATTCCTTCAAGAGGTGATTCTAACAAGCAGCTGGTGTTCAAGGCAGATGGGTCACTGGACACAGTGAAGAAGGCTGCTCTCACTGGAGCAGCCTTGTGTGAAGGATCCTGGGAAGGCTTCAAGCTACTGGGGATGGGCCAAAATGGTCTCAGGGCAGAGGTGATGGGGCCCCAGATTCTGGTAGGACTCACTAGCAGGGAGCCATGGGGATGTGCCCTAGAGTGGGCTTCAGGGAAGGGTGGAGCTGGGGCTTTTCAAGTCCACTTCCAAGGTAAGAAAGACTGTTTGATTTCTCACCCCAGATTGGAGTCTCTTTGTATCACATTTGCATGGGTGGTTTCTCTTAGTTTTGGGTGGTTTGCAGCCTCCTTTAAGGAAATCCAAAGAAAGGTGAGGCAACCAGGGAGGATTCAACAGCCACTGACCCAGTCACGCCAACAGCAATGTGAACACTGAGTGACAGATCAGGGAGCCCTGGACATATGCCCCGCTGTGCCTTCAGCCAGCAGGTAGTACTTGTCCATAAATCCTCTGAGTTCTACCTCCCCATGCCATTGGCCAAAAACTTCAAAATCCTGTAAAGAGGCATCAGAATTTCTGTGAACTGGGACCAGGTTCTCAGGGTACGAGAACCATCTACTCCAGTTCCTGAGGCAGGCATCCAGGCTCCAGATGCTCCTGGCTCCTTACCTTGAGTCTGAACGTGTCTCTACTAGGATCTCTGGGCTACTCACTTTAAAGTGGTTGACTCACAAAGGGCTGTCGGGAGCTCCACCAGATGGTCCCCGCTGACGACCAGTAAGGTGAGCTTCTTTAGGTTAAGCAAGACATAGGGAAGATAGGTCAACTTGTTCTTATACAAGAGAAAGGTCTGCAGTTCTTCTAGCCTAAGAAGACGTAGACAGAATTAGAACACAAGGATTTAGCTTCATAGCTAAGAAAACCAAAGTGAATTACAAATAAATTCTAGTAGGAAATCCCTATTTAGTTTATATTTTTATATACAACCCTTATGAGAATAAACTGACTTTAAAATTTAAATAAATAAAGTTATGTCAGGTGACACAATTTGGGCTTTGCTTTTGTTTTTGTTTTTTTTCTTTTTTACTGACTTAATTGCCAACTGAAGACACAGATATAGCAGTAGGATAAGCAAATTGCACAACATACAGCAGGACATGATGGGGCCTAAAAAATCAATGTATCCCTCCCTCTGGGTGTCTACTGCATTCCCAAGGGTTAACAGGGTGTGGGAAAGAAATCAGACTAGAGTTGGAGTGAGAATAAAGAAATTTTGGCAACATATTTCCTTTTGTATATCTTAAAAGCACAGTTACTCTTCTCTTATTTTCTAACTTTAAAGTAGGAAGAAATTTGCAGAGTGAAAAGGAAATGAGCAAAATATGCTCCAAATATGTTTTACTTTGTTTTCCATCTTGTTCTAACTCAGTGTCCCCCCTCTAGTTTTTTCTTTCTTCATTTGCAAAATCTTGACCAATCCCACAAATATTGCACAAAGTTCTCCTTGTGTTTCAAAGTCAAACAATTCCCACTTAGTCTCATAAACCTAGACAGCACCAGCACACATGCTATGTACCAGGAGGAGAGAAAGATCATATGAGACACCATTCAAGGCTGAGCCATTTTTGGCTTTTGTGTCATGACAGCTCACTTACGCTACTTTATAAAGAAGATTGTGGACTCCAGGAGGCCAGAGATTTTGTTTCATTCACCACTTCAAACCCAGCCTACTTCCTGGGCTTGCCATACAGGAGCCTAATAATACTGGTGGAACGAATGAATGAATCTTACATGATTCAGTGTAATAATTATTTTTTAAACATGAAATAGCTACAAGGATACAATTTGAAAACCTTACTATGCATATCAATTTTGTTTGAAAGATTATGTATAATAAGCAATAAATGAAATTGGTAACAATTATCCTCACTGACATTCTAAACATAGAGTGGTATGTTTCTATTCTATACATAATAAATTTACTTTTCTACTTCTATGGAGTAAAGGAAAGTTAATGGTGCCATTCTATCGAGGACTGAAGTTAAGTTCACCAAGACAATGAAGATATGTTCAAATGCACATACATATACATATATATGTATGATGCACACTGGGAATCTTCTTATTCTATAAAGAACCAAATTAATTTTCTGGAAAATTAGTTGATTTTAGAGAACGTACACGTGCTATGCATGTTTAAAACGTTAACAGTGTTTAAGACGTTAGTAACTGATTCATATACCTCACCTTCAGAATGCAAGTAGCTACCTGTCTATATCTTGTGGCAGGTCATTCAGGTTATTGTTGCTGATGTCCAGCCACTGCAAATTAGACATCCGCAGGACACAGATCGGGACACTGGAAAACTTGTTTGCTGAGATATCTACAAATGTAACTTGCTTCAAATTACTTAACTAGAAAGGAATAACAAAATATGCAAATTACTTTTTATGAGTGGGAATTAAGTTCAACTAATAATTTTTAGATTGATGTCTCTTCCCAAAGGCATTTCTATGAATATATGTAAAACAGATCAATACAGTATTATTTTGGAGCACTTATGACGTGTCATTCACTGTGCTACACGCTGGGGGCGCTAAGATAAATAGCACACGGTGGCTGCCCTTGAGGAGTTTATATTTTCACAAACAAGCAGTGCAATTTTATGTAGTAAGAACTAACATGAAGAAGTTTTCAGCTTGCAATGTTCGGTAACACAGAGAAACAAAGGACTAATCTGTCCAACATCACAGTGGGGTGAGGGTCAGGGGTCAGGAAAGATGTCACAGAGAATGGAGCATCTGAATTGGGTCCTGAGGTTCCTCAACAGGTGGAAAGGTAGGGAAGGAAACTCCAGGTGAGGAACAGCATGTACAAAGTCACAGAAGACAGAAAGCTCAAGCCTTAAAGAGTAGCATGACTTGAGGAAGACCACCTTAATGAGTTTTGGCAAATCTTAAGGAGCCTCACATTTGAATTGGTAAAGTGACATGCAAATGATCAGCAATCTCTACTGTTTACAGCTTATAGCCATAATTTTTGTTTTTAACATGGTAACTGAAATATGTAGGGAAATATCTTTTAATTTCAAATACAAATCTATGAACACTGAATAAAGTAGGAAAAGTGTCTCATGTTTGGATTTGGTGATGTAAGTTTCGTAGTGACTATGAAATACAGAAGGAGCTACCTTTTACTGACTTATTTTGAGAGTCCATAAATAAAATTTGGGCTGCCTCTCAAAATACTTTTGCAAAATTGTTATGCAGTATGAAGTCAGATGGACCAATGGGAGGGATTACTGAAATACAGCGAAAAAAGAAACAGTAGTCTTATGGCTCTCTTTACCTTAATATAATACCCAATTCCATATTGCCAAATGTGCTTTAGTGAAACACAGGTCAAATTCATCATATTAAATGGGCATATTCTAATTTTTCTCTTGTTTTGAATTTATAAAAATGAATGTGAAGATAGTAATGTGATGCTGAATAAGCAGTCAAGAAAGATGTTTTGGGTGCCCATAATTCAGTCTAAAGTTTCTGACTGTGTTGCCAGGGTTATCAGATCAGCAGAAAAATCAAGACAGAATTACCATCAGTCTCTCTTCTTTCTCCTTTTTACAATAAATGTAGAAAATACATTTTTTAGACTGTAAAATAATTTGAGGATATTTAAAGGAAATAAGACTTTTATGAAAATTAGAATAAGGAAAATCAGAGTGGCATTAAACTAGCAAGGAGAGAAATTACTTAGATATAAAAGTCATTTCCCACCAGCTACTTTCATCAAGGGCAAAGTAAACACACATAAACTCTTTTGAAAAGTAATTATATTTGTCTGAAAATTCCAATGTTATCCAGATAAAGATCTGACATTCAGTCAGAGTAAATAGAATGCTCATTTACACAGAAGTTTCACTATCTTTACCTTTGCCTCAGAATTCCTGGTTGTCCCATCCCATAACCTTCCATAGGTCATTCATTCTACTTGCTGTTTATTTGAATTTTAAATCTGGAATGTGTCAATTATTTGTGTAAGAAACATCCTCATGAAGACAGGCACAACACTGTGAATATACTTAACCCTGCTGAAATATACACTTAAAAAGTGTTAAGATGGTAAATTTAATGTTATGGGGTTATTTAATCACAATTTTTAAAAAATTGCCAGCGCTAGGTATGGCATTCAGGCTAAACAGTGCCTTCCTGGGTTTGTAGAGATTAGAACCAGGGTTACTGTGTGCTTCCTTTAGATAAATACAAGTCAGACACATGAGGCTGAGATACCCTCACAGATGATACTCCCTTTAATATAACCATGCAGTCTGTCCTCAGCCATGTAATTTTTATTTATCTTGCATAAGCCATAGTTTGAACAGGTGGTTGAAATTTATGGCCACTGAGAACCACTTAGGATTGAAGTAGTGACGTTATATATGGGAAGAGTCAGTGAACTATTGTAACAAACAGAGCCACCCGGGGAGTATAACAAATACTGTGCAACAGAATCCCATTCAAAGCAAAGAGCCTAAAAGTCTATATCCAGAGTACATGTGCTGCCACCGATGTCAATGTAGGTCAGGGGAATCAGCAGTAAATTGCTGTTTTCCAGGGAAAAAAACACCAGATTATGGCTGCCCAGTGCTGCCTTGCCTCCCACTTGTGGGGATTACCTGCAAACAGGCAAGACAGAATTTGGGGGAGTGATGGAAACATTCTACAATTTAATTATAGTAAACTGTACATTTATACTGGGTGAATTTTATGGTACACGAATTATCTCAATAAAGGGGGAAAACGTAGAAGGGACAGAGAGACCAGCCTAGGAGGTTGTCCCAGTCCAGAGGACAGACAACACGGGCTTAGACTAGGGTATTTGTGAAAAGGGGTTGGGCAGTGGTCAGACACAGACCGTATTCTGAAGGGCATGCCCAACAGGACTGACTCACAGAGTAGACAGGAGGCGTGGGAGCAAGAGAGGTCAAAGATGAGCTAGCTTGCTCCCAGCCAAACATCCAAGAGAAGACTGAGTCATTTTCTAAACTGGGGAAGACTGGGGACTGAGCAGACTTGTGCAGGGAATCATGACCCCTGGCTGTGTGCCCTCATCAGGACCACTGTCAGGCATTTCCTGGGGTGAGATGGGTGCTAATAGTAGAGGCAGCTACTTCCTCCACCCAGAAGTTTTCAGGAAAGGAGAACAACACCCCTTCTAGGACTATAATCAGTGGCCTGGGCCTTGTCAGGACCTCACCAGCAACACGATTTTCAGCCTATTCATCACCAGCAGGGTTGTGAGATCCTTATCTCTCTTCAGCACAAGAAGCTGTTGAGTTTTACTTGGCAATAAAAACTGTTCATTTTCATCTGCTCGCCGTTTTGTCAGAAAATGATTTAAAATCATTTCTCCAATGAATATAGACCAAAAGAAACTACCAAACGTTTTTAAATTAGTGGACTTCTTAAATCCTATCTATAAGACTACTTTAGTTATCCACAAGTTTTGTTATGAGTGTATAAAAATTTTTTTAAATTTTATCCCTTTTATTTATTTCCAACAGTTTCCAATTTATTTCATCATTGTGGATAAATAAATCAGGATCTGCATTATAGACAACATGAATCATATTAAATAGGCATTAAATAAAAATATCTTTCATGGAAATAGGATTTTTCTGCCTAATTTTCCTTTGATAGCATTTCTGAATTTAAATCAGGTCCTGGTCTAGTGTAAGGACATTTTAAAAGACTGTAATCACTGATATAAAGTGATTGAAATGTCAGGAAAATGTGATACAATAAAGATGCATTTCATCTTCCCTGTCTTAGAGGCCATTCCATGTCATAAACCAAATAAAAGCAAATCATAGTACAAAAATGTTTACTTTCTTACTTCAAAGGGGAGCTCTGTTAATTCTAGATTTCCAGAACAATCCAGTTTCTCTAGCTGTTCACAATCTCCCAGTTCTAGAGGAATGCTCTTCAGACGGTTGAAACTCACATTGAGTTCTTTCAGGTTCTTCAAACGACCTGTCATCAGAAAAAATTAATATCCATGGTGTAGGTCCTTTAAGGTTTTTAAGAACAAAAAACAAAACAAAGATGTAACACATTTGTATAAATGATGACGGGGAGGCAGTAAACATAAGTTCGTATTTGCTTTTTAAGCACTCTTCATATGTCTGCTCATCTTTTACCCTGAGCATTTTGTCCTTGATCAGTGCATTTTTTGCTCACTCTGTAACTCTTTAACCCTTTGTGAAACCATAGGCGAGGTGAGTGCGGGGGATTTGTCTTCCATGTAGCTTGGGTCAAGCCCCAGCATCCCAGAGTACAAACCCTTTGAAATCACATGATGAATGAAGTAACAGGCAACGGCTTTGAAGACTAGTACAGTTCCTAGAAAGCACGATGACCAGCTATGGTCCACTGGTGGGCTCTAAGGAGAAGTGAACTAGGGATGGAAATATGCACAAAGCTTTATGTACATGGTAAATGCTTTAGACAAGAAGACTGTCTACAGACAGCGTGTAATTCATTTATCTTTGCCTTCATATTGGCATTGATTCAATTATGACATCTCATGCTTCCTAAAGAATATGCTTTAAAACAGAAAGTCCCTTTCACAGGCAGGAAGTGAAGACACTAAGAAGTACAGGCAATAATTGGATTGATGGAGAAACACTGCATCCCAGTTCTGTCTTAATTGAATTAATACATAATCACTTCCAAACCAGAAACTAGCACAAGAGCAAATATATTTAATATTCCAAAACTCATGTCACACATGTTCTAAGACATTGACTACTTTAACATTCTTAACCTAATTTTTTAAATTAGAAAACCAAAATTATTGTTTACTATTGCAGAGTAGGCACTCAAAATACAAATTTCTTGCCATTTTATAAATGAGAACGGGAAACGTACAAAGACAGTATATCGGAGGTGGGGCTATTTCTGAGTCAATTTTGTTGGTCTCACTGTTTGCTGGAAGATAATGGTAATGCTGTCGAAATCAGTGGCCCCTCTAACTTACCCACCCGGTACACACTGCAAGCCTTACAGTCGGGTATTGTAGTCAAAGTAGCAGGATGGCGGGTGGCCAATATAAAATAAGGAAAGACTGTTTCTCTCCTGGGGAGGACTGGGGAGCACACGTTGTGAGAATGGAGCTCTGTGCAGCCCCCAGACCTTCACCCCTAACACCCCGAGAGAAAGAGAAGCGTGATGAGCACTACGGTCTTCATTTTCAGGTGATGCAACTGAACAACGAGACGATGGAAAATCATAAAATTTTGATCAAAATGACATAATAAGCTAAACTAAACTTATCAATGGACTGATATATGAGAACAATATACTGTATTTTATGTTTACAATAAACATATTTATTGTATGTTTGTATTTCTAAAACTAAAAGAAATGAAACAAAAGGTTCCTAAACACAGCACCGCTCGCTCAGGAGGCTGGTAGTTTCTGAGCAACGGCAAACATCTGTATGTGCTGAGTTACGCAGGTGAGGCCATGGCACCACTGCCCACAGCTGACACTGCGAACAGGCAGCTCTGGGGACACATGAAACAGCCCTGCCCAGCAGCTTCCTGGGCCGGGAGAAGGATGCTGCCCGCCCACCAGACAAGAGGCCTGAAGGCTCCTGCTGAGTAACGTACCAATTTCAGCTGGAAGACGGGATATTTGGTTTTGAGGCAGATCTAGAATTCTCATCGCTTGGAACAGCTCAATATACGTAGGAATGATTTGAATCAGGGTATTGTTTATGTGCCATTCTTTCAGGTGCGTCTGCTCCTTCAGCTCATCTGGGAGCTCCTAGAATAGAATGAATTGCGTCCATCAGAACTAGTTCTCAAGATGTCGGAGTTGAGCGGCAGTGTGCACAAAGCCAAGTTAAACCGCACATTTATTTAAAAAGCAAGAAGTGAGAGAGCATGGGTGAGAGCGTTAGACTTAATGCAGCTCTACAGCCATTTCAAAAAGAAAGCAAAGACGCTGCAGTTGTCATTAATTTCACAAAAGCAGATTAGCTCAATTTCAACCCTGCCATGAATTCACAATACTATTAAAATCAAATGCCTAGTGAACAACCAGACTCACGCCCATAGCCACAACATATATTATTTATTTACAACATACCAATTTAACATCTTCTAAAAATAAAATCTGTCCATGCATTGGATTTTAAAATTTGTGCTGCATTTCCCTTCCTCTGTAGTCACTTTTAAACATACTTGACAAACATCTAATATTTGCTGTGCCAAATTTCTAAATGTTTTTATGAGTTTGGAACAGAGAAAGAGCACCAGAGACAGTGGGGAGACCTGAATTCCAGGCCAGGCTCCCCATTTTCCAGGCATACCACCTCCCTGGGTGATGGAGAGGAACTTGGCGTATCTAAGGCCTCCCTTAGCTCAAGTGTCTGGAGTAAAACTGTAAAGGTGTTGGGGGGCCAGCCCATGGCCTGGTGGTTAAGTTTGGCATGCTCCACTTTGGTGGCCTGGGGTTCAGTTCCCAGGTGTGGACCTACACCACTCGTTGATGGTCATGCTGTGGTGGCGACCCACGTACAAAACAGAGGAAGATTGGCACAGGTGTTAGCTCAGGATGAATCTTCCTCAGCGAAAAAAAAATTAATAAAAAAAATCTAAAGGTGTTGAGAAAAGCTTAAAGACTTTTGAGGGGCTTTAGGGGGGCTATTGAAGAAATTCAGCTCACCAAGCCCCCACTGCAAGTGAGGTGTGTTCAGCCCTGAAGGGATGAAAAAAGAGGAGGAGGGCACACATGTCCCCTGACCTGACGAAGCTGACTACAGTGAGCCATCAGCCAAACGTGGCAGGAGCGCCGAGGGCAGAGTGGGCACTCCACGATGGTGAGGTCGGTGGGGTGGGGGTAGCAATCAGAAAGTCCACAGTGATCCTTTTGCTTGGTACTTGGTACTTACAATGTGCTTTATGATCACTGCTATTGGATATGCAGGTTAAGCTTTTAACTTACAAAAAGTACTTTCACTCTAAATATGATTTCATATCACAGTACCATAAGATAGGCAGAGTGGGCATTATTATTAAGGCCCATTTGAAAGAGGAAAACCAAAACCCAAAGACAATTCAATGAGTCACTTAGGGTAAGGACCTGCTCCATAGTTTCAGGAACTAGTGCAAAATGAAAATGCAGGCCCCCTTGCTAAAAATTATTAGGAATTTCAAGACAGTGACAGCAGAGCATTAAACCAAGCATGAGGCCCTTCTAAACTCAGGATCTGACGCTTAGATCAGAACTGATCTGAATGCAACCCACACCAGACCAGACGTTTCCTCCTGCAGCTGAGACAAAATGAAGAGCTGGATCATTAGGGAGCTGATGCCAGGTTATACCAACACTCTCTTTATTGAGGCACCAATTTACTGAGTGCCTCATAAACAATTTCTCTCATTTTGCTCTTTCAATAATGGCACACTTGAAAGATTATTATACCTCCTAGAATTATGTTCATTACTATTTTTAATAAAAATAGAGAAAAATCTTAAGATAGTGTGTCAAATAAAAATAAAAGGGGGGCCGGCCCGGTGGCGCAAGCGGTTAAGTGCGCGCACTCCGCTGCGGCAGCCCAGGGTTCACCAGTTCGGATCCCGGGCGCACATCGATGCACCGCTTGGCAAGCCATGCTGTGGTGGCGTCCCACATAAAGTAGAGGAAAATGGGCACGGATGTTAGCCCAGGGCCAATCTTCCTCAGCAAAAAGAGGAGCATTGGCATTAGATGTTAGCTCAGGGCTAATCTTCCTCACAAAAAAAAATAAACAAATAAATAAACAAAAATAAAAGGAATAGGGTAAAAATGGCCAATTTAACATACAGGAACGACTGAGACACAGCCTGAGCATCTCACCAGATGCCCCCTCTTCCCCAAGACTCAAGGAGTGGAAGAGTCAGCCACATCTGGAGGTGAGAGCTGAGGGCAGGGCTAAAAGAAAGAGGTCAGGTTCAAAGTCTAAGACCAGGTCCCTGACCCCCATCCACGTCACAGAGCAACTGCCCCTGTAGGAGACTGAGGCTTATTCATTGGAGGGTTAAACAGAGTCCCAGGATTGGGGACCCTCTGGCACATCTAGGGCAGGGGGGCAGCAACCAGAGGATGAATGATGAATGCTGCAACTCCCCCACCTCCAGCCCTGCTCTCTGTCCCAGAGCACTGGCTGCCAGGCCTGTCCCTGCCTGCAGGAAGGGAGAGGATCCTCCTCTGAGGCTCTCACCAGCTCCAGACAAGTCATAAATGTGCACTCCCAAGGGGAGACGGGAGGGAGCAGCGTGCCAGTGAAATGGCTGCTCTATAGCAACACCCTCAAAAAACGAAGCCCACATACTCTAAGCTTCCAATCAGCTTGTCAGTGCTTGGGACACCCAGAGTCTCCAGACCTCCCAGAGAGCCCCAACGTGCAAGATAAAGACAAACATCCTAAAAAGGAAAAGGAGACTCTGAAAGAAGAAAACTTCCCCCAAAATGCTAGGGATCCCAAGATAGGTAAGAAAAGCCATTACCCCATAGAACAAAAACTGGACAAAATGTTTAAAGGTAAAATTAAGAGATACCTATAAAAGTAGAAAAATAAAGCCACATCACAGGATTCCTTCACTCACAAAACAGCCAGCTCTTAGAAATTAAAAACTTGATAGCAGAAATGAAAAATTCTATTGAAGAGTTGTAAAATAAAATTGAGGAAATCTCCCTGAAAGAGCAGAGTCCAGGGCCTAAGGGTGTCCGGCTCACAGCAGGAATGACCAGCCCCCCACTCCAATCTGGCACCCCCAGTCACAGAGCGTGGCCCCGCAGCCAGCCCTAACGAGTCCCATCAGAGCTCTCCCACCCAGTCCCCAAGGCCTCAGAAGCTCCACAGCCCTGTCCATCCTGTGGTGACCTCTTGCAGGGCTGGGCACACTGCCTGGTGTGATGTTAGAGGCCAGAGCTCCCTCGCCGCCAGGGAGTACTCTCAGATAGTGAAAATCCCTTAATGCAGCTTCTCGCTGGTTCATCAGAGGTAAGGCTGAAACACAGATCTCTCTAGGGGAAGAAATCAGCAACTGAAACTCACACTAGTGAATGCCTGGGCCCCAGAGTCTTCCTGGGGGGGAGTTCCAATCAGGGAAGGGTAGCCACTTAGGCAACCAAGGTGGGGTACAAAAAGGCTGCAAGTAATGAAGACACCATCCACATAGTCCGCTATGGTGTCTCCCCCAGCCTGCTGAGTCATAACCCTCTTCCTATCCCACTTACCACACCAGGCACTCACTCAATGCTCTTTAAGATGATTTTCAAAAGGTATCGGAGCCGGGAGAACGCCATTCAGGTTCTCCAGGTGGGCTGGGTGACCCTACGGGGTAAGTGCTTAGCTGCGATCATGGTTGATGATGGCACATGAGAATGATCTACCAGCGGTCTTTAACCAGAAATCCAGAAAGGCCTTCTTGCCCCAGAAGAGGCAGTGTCTGTGTAGCCACTGACCTCAATGATGGGGATGCGAGAGAAAGAACACCAAAGAGCTTTTATGGTAACAATCTCTCCCAGTTTAGAGGGCAGTGTAGCTAACAAGTTGGCATCACAGAATATGCGTTCATTTAATCCTCACAACGCCCTCAGAGGGGGTCAGGGCAAGCATTAGCACCATTGTATGGAGCAGATAAAACAAATAAAAGTGGAGTAAACTGCCTCAGGACACGTGGCCAATCAAGGACAGCGCCAGGACCACCCCAAGTATTTAGTCTGCCAGTCCAGAGTCCTCTCAGCCACAAAATGGCAGGATAAAAAGAGAGGGAGGCAGGTCCCAGAGGACCCCATCCCACTGACATGGACTGTAGCCAGGGTTCATTCCCCCATGGCACCCCAGGAAACGTCAGATCGTAGGCCAGCCCTGGAGACGCCTCTCCAAGAAGGCGGCAGGTGGGAGGAGGAGAGCAGCAAGCACCAGTAAACACCAGAGGAAAGAACGAGGGGACATCTTTGTCCTGGCCTCAGAATCTCAGAGGAAAACTGGCTAAAGGGTCCGCTGAAATTCCTTTGCTGCTCTACACACTGTGACAAGTCAGAAGTAACCACCTACTGAGGGGCGCTGGATAAACGAAAGGCTCAGTTCATTTAAAAAAAAAACGGCAGAGTTATTTTAAACGTCTAGGGGAAAGGCAGCAGAATTAGGTATTTAAATGCTGTGCCGTCCTGGGGAGAGCCGCTGGGGTCCCAGCCCCTCCAGGCCTCGAAGGGATCCAAGTGGATCTCTCCGCTCTTTCCAGGACGACACTCTCACGGAGGAAGACGCGCGGGAACGCGGCTCAGAGCAGATAATCGGCTCCTCTGCCTCCGCGGAAAAGCTCTCTCAAGGCAAGAGCGCTCACCCGCCAAGGCCAAAGCCTGGAGTTCGGCTTGACCGTGCACGTCAGCCGCGGCGCTGCCCCGAGCATCCATCCGCTTTAGATACAAAAACACATCGACTCACCTTCCAGTGCTCCCCCGAAAGTTCAAACACAAACGGGCTGCTCCGTTTGTCCCTCTCCTTGGAAAGGGAACTCTGCCTCGCGAGAGAGTTCCTTTCGATCTTTTCCAGGAGCCTCACGCTGGTGTCTACGAAGCCATTCTTGCAGTACGCAGCCTGGGGGATGCCCTTCCTCCTGCACTCGGCCACGAAATTCCACTCCTCCTTTATCCTAAAGCGGGCAGCAGAGGCCGCAGTTACTCTCCTGGGGAATCGCCATCAACTGCCTAGGGAAGGCGTCAGCCACCCGGGCGCAGGCGCAGTCCTCCTCATCACCGCGACTTTCCTGCTTCAGGAGACGCGAGCCCTCCCGTCCACTTTTCTCCCTGCCCCTCCTTTCGAGTTTCCTCTGCCTGCGGAACGTAGGGGGAAATCTTAAACCCTCACAGTTGTGAATTATTAGCAACTTTGACATGTGATTAATTACAATTTCCTTTGATATTATGTGGTGCCAACCCAGGTTTTTAAATAAAACAAGGCCACAGGAATTTGCTGGTCTTTCAAGAGCATTTGGATAGAAATATATAGGCAGCCCCACTTTATAAAATACCTGACTTCAGAATGTCAGCCATCAGCCACCGTGGGAAATTTCACTCCTGTAGGTGAACTTGTTATTAATTAATAAGTATGCAAATAAAATACCCAGGAAGTGAACCCACAATCCTAGCCTAGATGGCAAACAGCCTCATTGAATGAGAAATTCCTCACATAGAGCCTAACAATAACTTCTATTTCTCCCTCTAAATGATTGAGTTTCATTCAGGTAGGGTGATATTCTGTATTTTATCTCCACCTACAACGTTTAGGTTTTGGTATATACTTCACGGAACAAATACATTATTACAAAATGAAATGCCATGAAGTGAGATAACAGAGCAAGCTAGAGGGTTTTGCCTGTTTTAGTAAATTTAAGTTAAGCACATAATTGCCTTTTATGATAAGGCATTCATCAGTTTTTCAAGATCTTAATTTCCCCACAGGAAACAGATCTTGAGAAACTAACAGTTAACATTCAAATAGTACTAATAATCACAGTATTAATCATATTGTGGAACCTCAAAAATACCTGCAAAAAAGATAAATTTACTACGTTCGTTTTTGCAGGTCCTGGGAAACTAATAAGCTTCTTCCTTGAACACCTTCCTCCCTCCACCCTCCCCAGCTCCTTCTCACCTGCCCAGCCAATTTGATGGCTGTTTTTCTTATCTTGAGCTAGAAAAGCCTAACAAGTCCCCAAGAAGTTTTCTGTCCTAGGATAAGACATAGCACAAGCCCTCTGGCACCAAGCCTAATTCAGACACGTCCCTAAAACCCCCCATGGCTTGGGTCCCCATTCAGCAAGTTGTCCTACCCTAGAGTAAACCCAGATGCTAGGAGTGGGGATGAAGCTGGAGCAGGGCAAAGAGCCACTTTGGGCTCACAGGGCCCTGGGACCTTGTGTGATTCATGCTAGTGCAGATCACTCAGACCTACTGCCACGGGTGTTGCCCAGCCTGAGGGTTCCAATTCTTAAATTCAAGAGTCACACCACATTGGATAATCTCAGATTAGTGGCAAGTGAAAAGACATTCTAACTATCTGTGATTACAGCATTACGTAGGGGAAAGGGCTTGGTCAAATCCTCCACTTACTAGCTGTGTCAACTTGGGGAAGTTACTTAGGTCCCAACTTCCTTGTCTTCAAATTGAGGATAATGATAACCAACTGGAACACTGTGACACTTAAGGTAGCAGCTTAATTATCAAGCATGATCAGAATAGGTATTTGTTCAATCCAAATAGTTCATAAAAGTGGAGAAGCAAGAATAAAGAGACAGTTGCACCTTACACATTTTGTTTTTAACTTAAAAGGCAGAAATATGTCACCATTTGCCAACCTGATGTAGGGTCATGGACTTTGTTCAAGAATGGGTCTACCAATGAGAATCCCATTCTGCCTTATAGAAACCACACCTATAATCCATCATCCAACAGTTCCAGGTTTGGTTTCTTCACAGGGAATAAAAATTACAGACATGCAAAGCCACCTAAACGTGCATCCTTTCTAGCTTGTCATACTTTTATCAGTCTCGTACAGTGCTGATTCAATTGTGTGGTTCCTGTTTATCGTAAATGTAGTTTTTCCAAAGCACTCAACTTAGTTTTCATATACATGACTCTCTTTTACTCATACTTCATGAGTTGACATGATAGTAGTCAAATTACATCATTTCAATCCAAGTAAAAATGGCATCAACACAATGAATCTTATCTAGCATTCAACTCAACAGGTGAGGGCTGAAGTGCATGACAGAGAGCAGCCATCACATGGCTTACACAGGTGTGGAGAGCACCAGACAGCCTAGTGAGGCCAGCTAAGCAGTCCTCTACAGAATTTACTGTAGAGGAATTTATCTTGTCTTCGCCGTCTTCCCCGTGCCTACCAGAGTGCCTGGAATATATGTGGGTTCTTATAGTCACGGGTGTTACTGTTATTGGAATCAAATGTTTGTTCCGGGCGACAGTGTGAGGGTTCTGAAGTCCAGTGAGTAAGTGTCACTGACAGCGAGAAATCTCAGAAGAAATGCATCCCCTGGGGCCGGCCCCGTGGCTTAGCGGTTAAGTGCGAGCGCTCCACTGCTGGCAGCCCGGGTTCGCATCCCGGGCGCGCACCGACGCACCGCTTCTCCGGCCACGCTGAGGCCGTGTCCCACATACAGCAACTAGAAGGATGTGCAACTATGACATACAACTATCTACTGGGGCTTTCGGGAAAAATAAATAAATAAATAAAATTATAAAAAAAAATGCATCCCCTTCACAATACATTGGGTGCCTGCCCGAGTCCCTGTCCTCTAAAGAAGCTACAAGGCAAGTACAGAAACCACATACTTTTCCAGTGCACTTTTCTCGAGCCTTTCTGCCTCCTTCTTCTGCCAAGCTTTGTGCTTCTTGACACGAGTTTCCCACATGGCTCTGACGACAGAAATGTCGAATACAACCACTTTATGTCCCATTTTGGGAACATGAAATTACCTATTTAAAAAAATATATTTATGTCAGCTTCATACACACACAGAAGACAACAGTTTTACCATAAACTTTAAAATGAAGTATGAATGAATCAATTATCTTAAGTAATGATGAAACACCTTGTTACCTCCAGGATGACAGTTTGCTCATGTTCTTAAGGTCCAATAGTACTCTGTGTAAGTCAAAGTTCAACACTCAACCTGGAGTCATGTCCTCCAGAACGTCACACTTGTGTCCCTACCCCTCGGCTGAACTGTGGGTTCCCAAAGCCCCCTAGGCATTCGTCAAGCCTCATAGTCCCACATGCTATTGAATTTACTAGCATCTGATCTTCCCAGCAGATTGTTACACAATCAAGGGTAAGCTTGATGAATTAATCAGAACACACACACACATACACCAGGTTATCTGAGGCTACACACTAGCCACGACTAAGTAGCAAAACCAAACATTGCACCAAGCCCCGCTGAGCACTTTCCCACTGGGACTGACCATAGACTGGGCACGTGTCCTATGAGGTTTCCCTGCAACATGAACCCTCACAAGCTGCTGATCTCCTTTAAGTGCAAGGACAGACTTGGGGACATCTTGGCCATCACATCCCAGTGAGACCTAGCACAGTGCCTGGCACATAGTAAGCCCTCCATAAATATTTATTGAATGAATAAATGAGTGAATGAATGAATGAAAAGTGAATAAAAGATTTGCATCCAGATTGCATCACTCTCAGGCCACTCAATGAACTTTCTCTCTTCTTTTTATTTTCCCACCTCATCTTTACTGTTTGTTTTGAGTGAGTTTTTGCTCACTGATAAAAAAAAAATTATCAGGACATAAAAGTGCATTTCAATGTTCATTCCACTAAGCCATACTTATCTCGTTTATCTAAGTAAAATAACTTTCTAAATATTGTTTTAAATTCCCCTACCTACAGCATCGAAATTTGGCTAAATCCATTTCCTGATTTGCACGAACACATGGAGTGTCAGTTGATAAATGGTAGGGCTGCTGAATATTCTCTGCTCCAATTCCAGACACTTCTAAATAGCAGTCAGTGGGGATACGAAACCAAATATTTAATCTGCCAACTCAAGAGCGTGCTCTCCAAAACCAAATATTTAATCTTCTGACTCAAGTGTGTGCTCTCCATAAATGGCTTGCCAATATGAGTGGAAGAACTGGCTTATGTTTGTGTAGCTGAATATTTGAGGGCCATAATTTTAGTCTGAAGAGCTGAAAATGCTACCCCCAATTTATTCCCCTCTTTCTTTTAATTTCTGACATCTGGAACTGTCTTTTGTCTCCCTTAAAATTCTTTTACCTAAAGGAGATTTTTGACAAAGGCGCAAATGGTGCAAGTTTCTGTGTGGAACACATGTTTTCAATTCTCTTGGGTAAATACGTAGGAGTGAAATTGGAGAGTCATGTGACAACTCTATGTTTAACATTTTCAGGAACTGCCAGACTATTTTCCAAAGCAGCTGGATCATTTTACATTCCTACCAGCAGTGTATGAAGGTTCCAGTTTTTCCACATCCTCTCAACACTTGTTATTATGTGTCTTTTTTATTGTCCCATTGGGTATGAAGTGGTATCTCCTTGTGGCTTCGATTTGCATTTTCCTGATGACTAATGATGTTGAGCATCTTTTCCTGTGCTTATTGGTCATTCATATACCTTCTTGGGAGAAACATCTATTCTGATCCTTTGCCCATTTTTTAATTGGGCTGTTTGTCTTTTATTGTTGAGTTGTAATAGTCCTTTACATATTCTAGATACAGTTCCTTTACCAGATATACGATTTGTAAAAAATTTCTCTCATTTTGTATTTTCACTTTCTTGATTCCATCCTTTCACTTTTACCCTAAATATACGATTATATTTGATGTGAGATTTTGTAGACAGAATCTTGTTGGATTATTTATTTAACCCATTCTGACAATCTTTGTCTTTTAATTAGTGTGTTTAAGCAATTTACATTTAGTATAATTATTGATATGTTTGGATTTAAGTCTACCATTTTATTATTCGTTTTTTCATTTTAATCCCTCTCTTGTTTTCCTCTTTTACACTTTCCTGCCTTCTTTGGTGTTATCAAAGCATTTTTTAGTATTCCATTTTATTTTCTCTACTGTGTTTTGACAGTGTTTCTTTGTGTAGTTTCTTTTTCAAGGTTGCCCTAGGGAATATAAGATAAAAACTTAACTTCTCATGGTCTACTTAGAAACAATATTTGCCCACTTCAAGTGACATGTAGAAACCTTACCACCTTATAGGTTACCTTATGCTGTCACCTTTATGTTATAGTTGTCTTATGCATTGTATCAGCCAATGTTATATTTTTGGTTTCAAATCATCAAACTTATTTTAAAGAACTCATGAGGAGAAGGCTAGCTCATTATATCTACCCTGATATGTACCATTTCTGTCGCTTTTTCTTCATTCCTGTTGTTCCAAGTTTGCCTCTGGTATTTTTTCCCTTCTGTCTAAAATAACTTTCCTTAACAACTGTTTTAGAGGAAGTCTGCTGACAATTCTGTTTCCTTCATCTGAGGATGTCTTTTTTTCTATTCCTGAAGCTTATTTTTGCTGAATATAGAATTCTGAGTTGACAATTCTTTTCTTTAAGCACTTTAAAAACTTTGTGCCCATTTCTTCTGGCATCTGTGGTTTCTGATGAGAAATCTACAGTCATTTGAATCATAATTCTCCCATAGGTGATGTATCATTTTTCTCTTGCTACTGTCAAGATTTTGTTTTTGTCTTTGGTTTTCTTCAGTTTAATTATGATGTGCCTGGGCATGGATTTCTTGGGGTTTCTCCTGTTTGGGATTTGCTTAGCTTCTCTAATCAGTAGGTTTATATCTTTTACCAAATTTGGGAATTTTCAGCCATCATTTCTTCCACTATTTTTTTCTGCACTGCACTCTTTCTCCTGTCCTTCTGGACTCTGACAACACAAATATTAGGTCTTTGACTATTGTTCCATAGATTCTTGAGGCCTGTTCATTTTGGTAAATATTTTTCCGTCTCTTTTTTTCAGGTTGGTAATATCCAGTAATCTATCTTCAAGTTTCCTAACTCTCCCCTATGTCACCTCCATTATGTTTATGAGCCTATCCAATGAGTATTTTATGTCAATTATTGTCTGTTTTATTTCTAAAATTTCCATTTAGTTCTTTCTATCTCCTATTTCTTTGCTGATACTTTCTTTCCATTCATACCCCGTGGCAGAGGGAGAGCACCCAAGAAAGGCCAAACTTGGAAGGCGTTCAGATCTCATTTTAGAAGTTGTGGTTCAGCCCACTAGATAGCAGAGAAGTCCTGTGGTTTGGTGAGGCTGGTCCAGCTTGCTGGACAACTAATAGGCCACCTCCCAGAGTACAGGTGAAAGACCAGCTGATTAGCAACTGATGGCATGGGCAGGCAGTGGGAGTCCAGGTGCTGGCAGGCTCAGGAGGTTTTCAGAGTGTGGACCACACAGGGACTTGCAGAAGGAGGGGCAGCTTGGTGTGTGCACGGATGGCTGTGTGCAGGCCACATGGAGGCTCACAGAGAGAGTCTAAGTACGAGCATGGGCAAGAGGCCTTCAGAGGACATGGGCTACACGAGGCTCTGTTTTCTGGGTCAAGAGAGCTGCAGAAAGGTTATTGCCAGCCAAGGCTGCCAGGTTGCAAGGGGACTACATTCTGGGCGTGTCGCTGGGGCACACTCCAATAGGCATCCCACACTGCTGATCCCCCCCCACCCCCCACTAGAAAAGGGAGGAAACCTCTTCCTGCTATACTGTCCTCTCAGTGCCCTCTACTGAGAAAGTTTAACATGGTGTTCATGTTAAAGGACAAATACTTAAAGGAATTCCATTGTATATCACAGAGTTTATACACTGAAGGGTGCATACAGAGCTGAGAGGAAATAAGTTAATAACTGACAAAGGAGGTGATCAATTGGTTGGGTTTAGACCTCACATTCCATGTGGGTGGTGATCCCCATGTCAGATCAGTCTTCTGACTCAGCAGTGCTACTCAGCTGTTCCATGTGCACCACCCAGTGGCTGTCTGGGACGGGGATGATGGTCTATCCATGGGTTCAGTTCTAACAGACGTTGGTAAGCTGGTTAGGGTCAGATCCACGCAAATGCAGCTCAGGGATGAGCCCAGAAGTTCATAAACAACCTCATGGGGCTGTTGTCCCAAGCTCCTCCCTCTCGGTGATCTCCCTGGTCCTCTCTGGATTCCTGGGCTCCCTTTTCACTCCTCTGGCCAGAGAGCTGGGGCTCTAGTTACCCTGCTGAGCTGTGCACTGGCTCCAACTGCACCCACGTCAGGGCCAAGCAGTGGGAAGACTGCGAGAGGAAAAAAGCAATGAGAATTTTCTCCACCCTCTGGGGACTACAGCTTCTCTGATCAGAAAGAAAGGATCCCCTCTCTCAAAGTTTTGGGTGATTGAGGGGCTCCACTATCAACCTATTCCCAAGCCCCTCACTGCTACTACTACAGAATCCTAGGGGGGCCTGAGGCACAAGAGGATGGAGAAAAGAAAAGCAGGGATGTACCCCCACTCTCTGAGCATTAGGAGTCCCCTGTTCCACTCCTGGAGCAAAACTAGGTGCTCTGGTGCCCAGTTCTGGGTGTCAGGCTGCCTTGAGTCCAGGCTGGGAAATACAGGAGGGAAAAAGTGGGAAACACACCACAGGTTCGTAGTGCTTTGAATTCGAGTGCCATTTCCTTCTTCTCTTGCAACTGTTTACTTTTCAGAGTCTTCATGTTGCTGATCCATGTATCCTGTCCAGGTTTTACGGCTGCATCTACTGGGACAGACGGGATGGAGTGGGCCTACTCCATCTCACCCAGAACCAGAAATCCCGCCTCTAATTTTTCTTTTACCACTTTCCTTACTCTGTTATCTTCAGCTCAGGAGCACCCACTGCAAAGGTCTCAGGTTTTGGCTTTTGACATAAAAGCCTCCAAAAAGGAATGGCAAGCATCAGCCTGAAAACAAGAGATTCAAGTCCATAGCC